TGTTTTTTTTTTTTTTTTTTTTTTTTTTTTTTGCCTGGCCCCGCAGGATGCTGAGTAAGGTTTTTATAGCTCACACATTGAATTTGGAGGAAGATTCACCAGCTTGTGCTTTTTTCTTTTTTGTGGTGGGGAGGGTTGGCGGTGCAATGATTTACTACTCCTTTAGGCATGCAGACTGTGGGACCATATGGTTCTGAATGTCTTAAAGTTAATTCACTCTGTCACCTAACCTCCATTGCTCCTATTGGGAAAAGCTATCAAGCCCTTACCTGGAAGAATTTAAATGTGAAACACGTAAAAGACATTTCAGAAAACACATAAAATACTTTTCTAGATGAACTTTAAGTCTAGTAAGATCTATTTAATAGCGTGTGTAACCAAGAACAAAAGACCTTCTGATAAAGAAATAGTTTAAGAAACAAAATTAACACTTTTCGTAAAAGAATTGGATAAAGTTATCCTTACTGAGGTGGTCTGAGGTATGAAACCTTTATCATATCAAACAGTAATGAAGGGTGACATTTAAATCCTCATCCATTCTAAATTGGTGAGTCTGAAAATGAAGCATTACTGATGTCTTTGACAAGGAAAATATATGAGGTAAAAAGAGGTGTAGCACAGACATATTTTTACTGACCTCAGTCGATCTTGTCCTTGTTTTTTAAATATTTTACCAGTCAACATGCTACAGAGTATGCCATTCATTAGATCTGTCACAAGCAGCAGCTCGGGTAAATAGATGGAAAGTATTAGCAGAACACTAGGAAAGGTAGAAATGGTGATAAAGCTACTGAAAAATGATACAACAGTATCTAAAAATTGCCTTTTGCCAGTGTGCCAAAGATATAACAGACTCCAATGGGTATCACAAGTATGCTATGAAGTAAAAAAAAAAAAAAATAAAATCAGGATTTGTAGAGCCTTTTTAACATGTTTCATACTTGAATTAGGAAGTTGGTTAGGGTTTGGTTTGGGGACTTTTGTTTTTGTCAGGTAATATAAGTATATATACATGGTAGCAATATATATAAGATTAAATTAAATTATTTTTTTAATTTTGTTTTGTTTTTAAAAGAAGATGCTTGTACAAAAGTGTGCTGATGCAGCGGTGTTAAATGAGAAGGATCTTGTGTCAAGTTGATATCGCTGACCATAAAATAACTACATTTGATTCATCTTTACAATAAATACTTAAGGACTTTAAGTTGTCTGTGTACCCACCCAGTGCTTGTGCTTGTTTGCGTTTGGTGACAATGCAAATAATTAACACAGTAATGACAGAATCTGGTTTTGGTTTGTGGTTTCTTTCCCACTAATTAACAAAATAAGGTTTATTTTATTTTACCCAAAAGACTGTAAAGTCTCTCTAGAAATATTCATTGATAGAACAACAAATTGATCTCAGAGTTATTTTATTCACAGAAATATGATCTTAGTACTTGATCTGTTTCGTAATTAAGCAACATATTGAAGTATGTGCTTAACTGATCCTTATTTATTAGCATAACTAAGCTATTATTATATTGTTACAAAGGCTAACACGCATTTAGGAACTTTGATAAACAGGAAGGTTGTTGACGGCTCAGCACCTCAGTGAAATACTTCAAATAGTACCTTATTCTAGATACTGTCAGGGAAACAGAGGTTCTCTGTGATGCTCATAACAAATTGTATGTATGTAATGACTCCAAGACCACTGAAGGGGAAAAGGTGTAAGATTTCATCTTGGTCACAGCTAGTGGCCACATCAGGCCTTATGCTATGGAGGTGAGAGGCCCAGGTCTGCCACCCTTTCCTCAGGAAATGAGGCTTTGTGGTTTGAGTAAGGCTGGTGTGATGGGGTGTAGAATTTCTCCATTATACAGTGTAAATTATATGGCTTTAAGTATAGATCATAGAATGCTTTAGGTTGGAAGGGACCTTAGAGATCATTTGGTCCAACCCCCCTGCCATGGGCAGGGACACCTTCCACCAGATCAGGTTACTCGAAGCCCCATCCAACCTGGCCTGGAGGCATCCACAACTCTGGGCAACCTATTCCAGCATCTCACCACCCTCAGAGTAAAGAACTTTTTCCTAATATCTAATCTAAATCTACCCTCATTCAGTTTAAAACCATTACCTCTCGTTCTATCACTACATATATATGCATATATATATACCAGTCATTTTTTGAAATTTTGCTTCATTAATGCTTTCAAATTTGTCTAGTTCATGATATCCTAGTAAGGATATTAAACAGCACTAATTTCATTACTTTCTGTTGGAAAACAGTTTTATATCTTTGTAGTAAATATATATTTTGGAATGGAAATACCTAGGTCTACTTATATGGCAAAGAAGGGGAAAAAAAATCTGTAAAATGAGAAATGATTGCTTGTTGTAGAGTTGCATAGGTTTCAGGCCCCAATAATACAAGAATTCCTGAATTTCCATGTTTTTCTTGCACAGATAAATAGTTGTAAAATCGATTATGACATAAAAAAACAACAATAAAGCATGGAGGAAGGGAAATATGTCAATTAAAGTAAATTAAGAGGTAACTGACTTGGGAATTCTTGGAGAAATGAAGACACTGTACTCTGCAATCAAGATCATCGGATTATAAACATCTTCTGAAATAAACGTGGATTTATGAAGACATTTCAAGATATTTTAAAGCCTTTCAGTGTTTTCCTAGGATTTATTTTCTAACTTGTCTGCTGTTCAAGTTCAAACATTATTAGTTTATTCAATTTACCATGTTTTAGGTGCAACTGAAGAATATGCTAGCCAAATTCTTTATTGTGAACATATATGGCTGTTCTGGTAAGCTCAGCAGCATCATTTAAGTACATTTAAACAGAATCCTTCAAATATTACATCTATTCCCATCTCTTGGTGCTCATGGAAAAAAGGTAATATCAACAGGTTCCTGTACAGCAGAAACACATGTTAAATTCGATTAAATATTTGGTCTAGTTAATAATGAGCAGTAGTGAAGAAATCTGGAAGTAGGAGTGAGCTAAAATTTTAAATCCCCAAGTTGAGGTCCTTCAGGGTAGAAATCATGTTTCAATTCTCCATATAGGTACAAAAAAGTGGAAACTCTGTGCTGTATTTGGCAACACCTAAAAAACAGAGTCCTATATTATTTGCTGCAACCTGAAAAAAGCTCTGGTGCAGAAGGTGCACGGCTATACACCCTTTGCTGAGGAAGACAGAAGGAAAACTGGTTGCTCTGGCTGCTTGCTAGACGCTCCCTCATTGCTGCAGTGATTCTAAGGCAAAATCCAGGTCATATCTTGTTCCTTCACTGCCTCCTATACATGTATAGGAACCTGATCTTCAATATTTCATAGAGTACTTCTTTATAGTAGATAAGTGGCTTTTTACTAATATTTATTTAAATATATTTTATTTATCTACCATTGTTAATATTTATAGTGAATGCATATAAGGACCTGGAAAGATATTAACTTAAATCACCTTTTTTTACCATGCTGGAGTATAATATTTCCATGGTCACTCAAGTAAGAAACATGCAAGCTGACCAACCATGTTCAGTATTAGGTGTCATGCTAACAAGCATGACTGTTTTTAATTCCTGTGGTTCATCACAGATGTGAATTTGATGGTCTCAGTCTAGTTCTTATTTGGGTATGGGCTGGTCTATGGTATAAGTCATTATTCCTGCCTAATACAATCCTAACAGTGGAGAAAGTCTGTAAGTTGGAAACAATATGACATAAAGGCTGAGTGGAAAAGTTTATATAGAACTCTAGTTTGCTTTTAAAGAACATCTCCTTCATAAGCAATTGCAATGTATCACATTTAAAAAAAAAAAAAAAGGGAAGAAAATTCCTATTTTTTAACTTTCTTTGTTATGATTACTGCTATCTCACTGTTCTATAACACTGACTGTTCTACTTGACTGGTTCTTTTGTTGTGCTTGTATTAACTGTGCTTTTATTTTTACTTTTCTTTTTTTTAATCTTGA